GCGTGATTTTTTGGAAATGCCTATATATATATATATATATTATAAATTTTCAATTTGTTAACATAATGTTTTTTTCATTAGCCTTAAGAAATTCATTTTTATTAATCAATGCAACATTTTGGACTTTTATATTTCTTTCTATACTTTTTGTACAGCTACTTTAAAAGTATTTCTGTTAAAAATTTTGTGAAATTTATTAAAGAGAGGAAATGTTTATTTATTAATTTAAAAAACGCTTTTTTAATATTTGTTAAGCATTTTTGCTGTAGGTTGAACCCAATTCTATTTTGTTTTTTTTTTGCAATTTTTGTTCCAAATTTTAGCTCTAAATCTTTAAATATCTTTCAAGAGCATCTTCATACACATGTTTAGAAGAGTTTAAATTATTTTCATTAGAAGATTTTTGATTTAGTCTAATGTTAATTGAAATAAGAATTTGTTTAAAGATTTGAGAGGGGTGATTTAAATTTATATTAATAGTTTAAAAGCACTAATTCCTGGATCACACTCTATATACAAAAGTTAGGAATTTCTACCTTAGGGTAGGACATGTGATTCTTAGTAAGGCATAAAGTTCTATTTCCTAAGGTAGAAGGTTATACCATAATTATTACCTAAACTATATTAAAAGTAATGATGTGTCGTACAATTGTCTACCTTAAAGGTATAACTCTTAAAAGGTAGAAAATTATATCTTACTAAGGGAATTTTTTTTTTTTTTTTTTTTTAATTTTAATTCACCTTCTCAAGGTCGAGTAGGCCACTACAGACAAGGAGGCTACTTATTTTGTAGATATAACCCTCTCTCAACTCTAACTCCGAAACACGAACCTTGACGAACAAGGCCGCTGCGCGGAGAAACGAGTTGAGCGCGGTACTACCAGGGACATGGTGGGGATCGAACCCGGATCCACTCGTTTATGAAGCGAGCGCTCTACCACTACACCACTACCGCATAATTCACATATCCTCTCCTTTGATAGAAACTTTTTTTTAAGAGTGCAATACCAACAATAAAATGTTGTGGAAAAATGTTTTTTTATTTTAACTATTAAGTAAAAAACTTATTTATTAAGAACTAAAAAATTATTTTGAAAAAAATTATGAATACAATAAATTTTTATATACAAACTTATATTTTATTTTTACATATCAAAAGCTTCTAAAACTAAAATTCAAAAGCTTGGTAATTATTTTTTGTTTTTATTATACTATTGAAATATTGATAAAAAAAGTCTGCTAACAAAAATTGTGCCTAAAAAAAATAGTTACAGAACTCTATTTCAAAATCTTAACTAAGTTTTAGCGATGATTTAGTATTTATTATGTTAAATCCTGAAAAATATCATGTCTTTTAAAAAGTTATTTTGAGAGAAACAGCAAAAAAAATTAAGGTTATCATCTTTAACTAGTTGCTTTTATTTTTTTTGTTTTTGTTTCAGTTCGGACAATTTTATTAATTCTTTTAACATAAATAATTTTTAGCCGTTTTGAACATTTTCTACCTTTAAATTGACCACCATGCAGCTTAGGCCTTTAAAAACTTAAAATTTGGTTCTACTGATTTGCAGATAAAGTAGCATCCATAGATTGCAATTATTTTGCAAATGTTTTTGCTCACCATATTTGTTGAGAAGTGTTAAACTTGCTGCCTAAGTAATAAGTTTTTGCTGAACTAAACCTCATTTTGGAATATAATACTTTTGCTGTATTACTATATTATGGAATAGCTTATTTAAGATTTAAGATTTACTTTGGACACCAAAAATCATTTGGATTGCAAAGTTAAACCATCTTTTAATGACCTAGGCATTATAAAACATGTAAAATATAAGTGGTGTCAATAAAATTTTAAAAATGAAAAGACCATTATATCATTTTTGTTAATCAATCTTGTATTACTGTTTTATATCAGTCCGGTCGCCCCTACTATGATTATACTAAATTTAAATTCATAGACAGGTTTTAAATTTCATTTAACAGTCTTTTAATTTATAGAAGTTACGATCATGTAAAATTTTCACCCTCTTCAAAATAAGGGAGTTGCAAATTTCACATGGCCATAACTTTATTAAATGTTATGGCCATAACTTTATTAAAATGAAATTTTATGATCTTCTAGTGTTTGAAAACCTGTAGATGAATTTAAGTTTAGTATAAGATAAAAAAAATATTACTTACTCATTGCCAATACATTCTAGTCAGAGTGCAAACTTTTTCAAGTATTTATGTTCCCAGACTCCAACCAATTTTATACAAAATATTTTTATTTCACATAAGTATGAACATACTTAAGTATGTTCATGTTTTTTTTTTAAAAAAAACATCTTCGCTTCCAACAAGACTGCAAGCAACCACTAATTTGAGTTGGAAGTTACTGGAAGAGAAAAGCTGAAGATTGTAGAGTAAGATAACGATTGACTGACGACTTAAAGTATTGCAAACTATATTAATCAAGAAAGCAAGATGAAGGAAGCAAATTTCAAAGAAACTAAAAAAGGAAAAAAACTAGAGAAATAAGAGTTTTTGGAGCACTTAGGAACAGACACAGAAAAAGGAGGATACTTGAATAAATGACAAGTAACACAAGAATGAATTTTAGTAGATAGCACAAGAGATGCAAGCTCTTTAGAGCAGCGTCTCTTTAGCAAAATTTATGTATAAAAAAATTATTTAAATAATTGTGCAAATATTTCAATTTTATAGTCAATAATTCTAAGAGATGTCGCTTACTTATTTTAATGGTTTGTCTTAAAACTACTTTTTTTGTGCAAAATAATTATAAAATTATGAGCAATGCACAACTGATGAAAAATAAACAGCAAGTGAATCTTTCACTAAGTGATACATTTAACATAAAAGCAGTAAGACTTATATGATTATATTGAAACATTACTTATATGAGTATATTGAAATGTTATTTATACGGGTATATTAGTTTATTGAAACTATATTGATTATTATTTTCAAATAAATATTTTATAAACATAAATATTCAATAAACTTAAAGCTTCTTTTTTTTTATTCATATATTTCAAGATATTGTTAATCGAATGATTTTAAATTATATATTCAAATAATCAAATAATTTTAAATTATATATTCAAATAATATTTTGTTAACGTTATTTTTGCTTAAACTATGATGAACAATTTTGTTATCAAGTTGAACCTGGTACAAGCGCTGCATCCAACTATTTTAAGGACTTGGATGTAGCTAATTTTAAATCGTCAACAACCAAAGCATATTAGCCCAGACAGAGTCATCGAAAATGAATGAAAAAGAGATTGAAACATTACTGGATATCGAAAGTATACTTCAAAATGTTAGCAATGACCCATCAGAATATGTCATTTGCTAACATTAGACAATGTGTGAATGTGTTTCCAAACACAGATTTAGTCGAAATATTGATAAAAACTTTGTTAATTCAAAGCGCCATTATTCAAATCAAGCATATCATTGTTTGAAATCATTGTTTGAGCAAACACTCAAGAATGATGAAAGAAAACATCAATCTTGGTTGAGCTTTGAGAAACTTTCAGGTTGAGAAACTTTCAGGTTCAGTAAGAATATTAAGTTTTCTGTGTTCCATAAAGATTGCATAGTCTAAGAATAACAGCCTTTTCAACAGTAGGATTTTATGTCACTAAAATTCATTTTTAAAAATTAGAATTTGTGCATTATATCTATGGTAACAAGAGAAAAAAACACTATCAGAATGAATGGCCAGTTGCAAGCAAAATTGAAAGAAGAAATTAACTATTAGCTTAAAGTTCTGAAATGGGTGGTAACTGCTGTGAAATCTTTAGTAACACAAGGTCTGCCTTGTGTTACTAAAGTTTAACACCAGTGCATCAGACCTTTGCAAAACAGCAACTTTTTAATGGATATAAAGCTAATAGCCAAATTTGATACGCACCTTATGGTATATCATCCATCATGAAATATCGCCTATATATGGTATGTCATCCATTATAGTAACACTGGTAGTAGAATAACTTTTTATCTTTCATCTACAACCTATCAAGAGTTAATCTTATGAAAAAAAAAGTTTTCAAGGAAATCAAGTCTGAGATTCAAGCAGCTAAATATATTTCTATCAGTTTTCTACCACTCTACACATGATTAAAGTCATATTGATCAGTTAACATTTATTCTAAGGTATGTAAAAACCAGACGGATTTCTAACAGAAAATTTTTTATGTTTCGTTCCTAATATAGGACACAAATGTGTAAGAACTTGCCAATGTAGCGTTATCAACTCTTTCAAAGTATAGTATTAATATTGAAGACTAATCTGGACAGTCATAAAATAATGCTACTTACTGGGGCTTTATTCTGGCCTTTAAGCCAGACTAAAACAAGTTAGTCCACTTATATTTTATGTTTCTTGTGCAGCTCATTCATTAAATCCTGCTACCAAAACAAGGAATTAAAACTTATGATTTTGTTATGACTAAATGCTGCTGTTTTGATACAAATTCATATAAACCTGAAACTAAACATGTTTATATGTTTAGTCAATAATAATGTTTGTAATTACTTTATGACAAGTTGAATTATCGTTAATGAAAAATCATGGAAAACTTGAACAGAACTCTTAAGTATTTATAACTATAGGTATATAGGTTATTTAACTATAAGTGGTGAAATCAATTTTTGCATCATTTTTACTCCCTTACACAGTGCCAGGTTCTGAGGAAACTTTCATAAACTAAAAACCTGGAAAGGGGTGTTGGAGGCGCCATCGAAACTTTAGCTACTTTTAGATTCCATAAAATGTTTGAACTTTTTAAACTTTTTATGGAATCTAAAATCTTGAATTGGCCTCTGCTGAAACATTAAAAAATCCTGCACCTCTTGTACCACTACCTAGGTCAAATCAAAGAACTGTCAAGATGAAATTGTTAAAAAAATATAATGTCAATTGAAAGCAAGAAAAGAAGTAAAATTTATTTTGTTAAAGTTATCAAAAATTAACAGATTTTAAAGTTAACCTTGTAATTTTATTGTTAATATCAATAACATTATTTGTGCCACCCATTTTAGAATTGATTTTCAAACATAATTGTGCCAAAGTCATTGGGTTGCATTTTAAAACGTTCTTTGATTGGATGCACTGGGTACACACACCCTTATTTTTGATCAAGTTTTGTACACCTGGATCACTAAAACCATTAAAACCATTCTCTGTTTCACACAGTCTTTTTATATCCCCTGAAAAAAAAAAAAAAAAAAAAAAAAAAAACTAACTATTATCACAGATAGAAACAACCTCATTTTTAATAATATATATTTATAACTAAATCAAATTTATTTTTACATATATAATATTTTTTACGCATATATATATATATATATATATATATATATATATATATATATATATATATATATATATATATATATATATATATATATATATATATATATATATATATATACACATATACAAACACATACATAAATCTAGCATTAAATGCACACGGATGATGTCATAAAAAAAGAAAAAGTTGTGGGGCTTCAAATCAAATATATTCTGAATAAAGTTGTTATATCAAGGATATTTACAAATAGTAATTAGTACTAATGTAAAATACACACTTGTAAAGGCTTCAAGACATACATCAACTATCAAAAAGCCTGACCCACAACTGCTACATTGACTAAGGATTTGGCATGGGGCAGCAATCTTTTCTTTCGTTATTCTTCATTTTTTTCTGAAAAACTGAAGTGCAATTTTTTACCTTAAGAGCGCAATGAATAATATTAGTGACTTAACATATGGATTGAGTATAATAAATTATATATATATATATTTATATATATATATATATATATATATATATATATATATATTATATATATATATATATATATATATATATATATATATATCTACTATAGCATATTTATATGCGCAATTGCTCACTTTTTTTGCTAGCCTAAATTAAGTGAGCATTTTTAGAAAACGATGAGGGAAAACGAAGAATAATGAATGAAAATGTTGCTGATCCATACCAAACCCTCAGTCGATGTAGCAGCACTCCACGGCGAGTCAGGCTATTTGTCAGTCGATGTATGTACTGAAGCCCCCGGCAGCAGGTTATTTGACATTAGGTGAGTATGACATCATCATGCTCACCTAACTCAGCAGTATAAGATATATATGTATATATATATATATATATATATATATATATATATATATATATATATATATATATATATATATATATATATATACATATAAATATATATACATATATATATATACACATATAAATATATATATATATATATGTACATATATATATATATACATATATATATATATACATATAAATATATATATATATAAATATATATACACATATAAATATATATATATGTACATATATATACATATATATATATATATATATACATATAAATATAAATATAAATATATAAATATATATATATATATATATATATATATATATATATATATATATATATATATATATATATATATATATATATATATATATATATATATATATATATATATATATATATATATAGGAATTAGGGTCGGCATTGCAGAATTAACTGCCAACCTAAAAGTGTTTGAGATTGGCAAAAAACTGCCGACCTTGTTTATATGTTTTATGGTAAGACCTTTATATCATATATTTATATGTTTTATGGTAAGACCTTTATTATTTTTTGCCAACCTGATTATTGCCAACCTCATTTTTCCTAATTCCGAGGGTTGATATATATATATATATATATATATATATATATATATATATATATATATATATATATATATATATATATATATAATATATATATATATACATATATATATATATATATATATATATATATATATATATATATATATATATATATATAATATATAGATTATATATATATATATAGATTATATATATATATATATATATATATATATATATATATATATATATATATATATATATATATATATATATATATATATATATATATATATATAAATATAGTTAATTCCCAGTAAGTCAAATACCGTTTAAGTTGAACTTTTATAATCTCAAATCGTTTCATTTAGTCCCTTGAAATTATTTATCTTTTGACTTTAATTAACAAACTTTTAATATCTCATCTTGAGTCAAACAACTTATTCTCTGACAACCAAATAAATTTTTATCCATGGCAGACATAACAATGTAAATAAAAAGTAACAACATTCAGTTAGAGTTATCTCACTAATCTGTCTAATGTTCTTTTCTTAGAGCAATTAGTTACACTTTTGAACATAAGTTTCTTCTTTGGCTCTTTTTGCTACTAGTTTACACTAATTCTTTTCGTTTCTGAGCATATTGAGCGGTGCAAAATTGTTATACAGACTTTGGACTTGGATTTGGTGTAACTTCATGGTTAACAGTCTTAGTTTAACCAATTATCAGTTTATGTATATTGTAATAACCCTTTTTTAGATGATTTAGTAAGTTTGTTGCCATTATTTTGTGTGCTTTACTGCCTCTAGACAAAGAAGCTCTATACCTAAATTACTCACTTTGAAGCAATCCCAAAAAAGGGAATTTTACTTTGCAATTACATAGCCATTAGGTACTAATGGTTTCCTTTAATTTGCTACCGATTTAGAAAATCAGAGAATTAAAATACAAAGTTTATTTTAAAACAAAGTTAAAACTAGTATCTTGCCTTTAATAATATTTATTAATTAAAATAGTATTTATATTTAAATTTAAAACTATTATAATGAAATAAATTAGTAAATACTAAATTATTCTATATATACATAGGTATATTAAGTATATAGAATAATTCAGCTACCAAACTGAATTTTGTAAATCAAAAAAAAAAAAAAAAACTTTTTATTTATAAACTGAACTTTGTAAATCAAAAAATATTTTTTCAACTCCGTGCACAGTCATTCCAAATATAATTTTATTAGATTAAAAGCAAAGTTTTGAGCAACATCAACAGGAAAGCAATCGGTAAGTAACATTAAGTAATTTTCAATGTTCTACTGTTTTCTAAGTTTAATCTTATTCTAAGTTAACTTGCTAAAATGTTCTAAATTTAAAATAAATAAATTAGTTATTTATAAATATTCTTAAATATAAAAACTTTATTTAAAAATATATCATTGATTTATTAAAAACTTATTTTAAAAAAGATATTAAAACATACCATAAAATGGTGTCTTTCCTGGCAAAATGAAAACCAGCAACTCAATATCTTTATCTTTCTTAAATGCCTTACTAATAACAGATTCTGGTAACTCATTTGCTGGGGCACGAGCCTGATAAACTGGATTATCAATTTGAATTCCAATTTCTTTTCTAAAGTTACAAACTCAAAACTAACATTTTTTTTAAATTCAACTTTTTAATTTAACAAAAACTTTTTTTTTAGATAAATTTACATTAATAATTTGATTATTGATTTAATTTATTATTTGTTTTCATTATTTTAAATACTAAAATAAAGTATTTCATGTTGCCATTTTACAAATAAATATCCTAAATTTTCAATCTGCTTTAATACTGAATGACATAAAAAGGTTAGAACTTTTTGATGTTCAAATTATAGTTTAGGTAAATAAAACTAAGAACAAAAAAAAAAAAAAAAAATTGGAAAGAATAAAAAAAATAGTTTAATATATAGGCATGCATAGTAAATATCTAACTAATAAAATTTTTAGATGATTGTCAAACATTTTACTTTTTTTCTACCTCGTTTTCATAAAAAGACCATGCATGTGAAGAGCTAGAGAGAGAAGAACTTTCCATGTAGAGACATACCAGGTAGGTGGCTCAGTCCTTGTTTTCTGCCAGTTTTTTCTGGCCCAAGCAGGGCACCCGGCACATCTATATATGCCAAGTACCTGGGGAAAATGCCAGAATTATTAAATTATGTTATAATTTTTCAAATCTTGTTGTAACTCTTTTTATCATATTGTAATTAGTTTTAAATAAACTTAATAAAGAAAATAAATTGAACAAAAAAAAATAAAAAATAAATCATCAAAAAAATATCACTTGATGAAATAAATATTATAAAATTAAACTAATGTTTTAGCATATAGCCAGGTAAAACTGAGAAGACTGGTAGTTAAAACAAATTTAAAACTAAATTACGCTGATTTGATAAGTTCCGTCTGGAATTTTATTAGTACTTCATTCTGCAAAGGTTTTCCGATGTCATAAACAATAAGACCCCACTTTTTTATTATAGCACCTTTATAAAGACGACGCCCTTTCATATTCCATGCACCTAAAAAGATAAAAAATATACATATATCAAAAACTTTTATTGCGTGTTTAGATGAGCAGTCTGATGTCATACTGAAATAACCAGCTGCCAGAGGCTTCAGTACACATCGACTGACTAAGTAGGTAGAACATGCAAGGATAGCAATCTTTTTTTTTCATTATTCTGAAAAAGCATTATGGAACAAAGTAAACAAAAAAAAGTCATCAAATACTAATCTAAATCTAAATTTATATATATATATATATATATATATATATATATATATATATATATATATATATATATATATATATATATATATATATATATGTATATATATATATATATATATATATATATAAAATTAAAAAAATCGAAACTAATAATCAACCTAAAGTTATTTTGAAAATATTCCCTGAGTTTTCCTTGATTTTGAGGATTTTCAGAAAAACTTCCCAACATTTCAAGGTTTTCACTAATTTTTGAATCTGATCTACTGCACCTTGCAGTGGTGATGCCTCCTGCATCAACACTGTCAACTTCTTTTGGTTGTTGAAATGAGATTTGAAATGAGAGTGGTGGTAATTTTGATAAACTGAAGTACTAAGTACTACCTGTGCTTTGAGTCAAGTTCTTTTACACAATTTAAAAAATTATTTAAGTTCCAAAAACTGTAAAACACAAAAAACCATAGCCATCACCAAGTTCTCTAAATCTATCTTTCACTAATATTTGTGGTCAATTTATTTAAAAGTTTGTCTTTTTTATAACATAAAAAAATAGGATTTAAAAAATTAAATAAATTTAAAAAAATTTAAATATAAAAGAAGTAAATGGAGCGCAAGGTAATAAATAGAGAAACACCAACAGATAAGTTAAGTTAAAATCTTTTCATATCGGAACTAATGAACGAATTTAAGATGCAAACACTTGAGCAGTGGGGCAAGCTTTTTTTTTTAACTTTTTATTGTAAAAATGCTTACCATTAGCAGGAAACAAAGGCTGATCCTAAAAATAAAGACATAAAAATAGACACAAATAAACACAAATAAACACAAAAAAACACAACAACAACAACAACAAACAAGGTACCTACCTTTTCACCATATTTTATGCCGGGGGTAGGCAAAATACGACCATTAAGTTCCACCATTGAGTTTGCTATTTGAATTCCAAAGCTATTCAAATATTTATCTTGTGGAAAATTCGCATTTTTCATCTATAAAAATGAATCATTTTTTGAAGATAAATTTTTTTATCTTGAAAAAAAAATTTTCAATAAATTGTTAAAAATACAAAAAATTTATACAATGTTATCTATAGTTGCTTGTCGCTTGTTAGGTCTTTTAGCTGCAATTTGTATCATCTCTGCTGTTGCATTTTCATTTAGCCTTTTAAGACAACGTTGGCCAGGAACAACTTTGCAAACTTCCATTGGAATATATACAGTTTTTTTTTCATCTCCAACATGAAGGCAAGGAAGGGCAGGAAATCTAATATATAAATTCATATATATCAGGCTTGGTCGGGAAGCGGGAGCGATTGCTCTCGATTGCTGACCACGTAAATAATATTTAGTTGCGAAAAGCTGGCCAGATTTTTTAGTCGTTTTGAGAACATTTTAAAAAGCAAAAAAAAAAAAGCGCTAAAGATTAATTGGACCGATGAGAAACAATTACAAAAAAAAAAAAAAAATTAGGTAAATAAAATATCTTTAAACACGAAAAAACTTAAAGCTAAATAAATTACGTTTAAAACAAATATTTTCAAAATATCGCTCTTTTATAATTTTTTTTATAAACTTAAGCGATGTTTTTTATATAAAGTAACAACTTACGATTGTTTAAAGAGGAAACAAATATTCTTTATTTAACAAAGTTTGCAAGTTTTAGTTTAATTTTAGCTAAATTATTTTATAAATAATAAAGTTAATTTTTTCAATACCTATTTTATGTTTCGCGTAGTTTGAAAAGTTTAACATATTTGAAACATTTCTTCTTAGTAAGATAAACAAATGAATTAATTAAATCATTGAATTACTATAGAAATTAAATTAACAATATAGAAATCAACTTAAGGTTAAAAATACTTCATGACGAGGAAGCGAAATTGCTTCACAATATTGCTGGTGATGTTTAGTGAGTGGGCTATTTAATTTTAATTAGTATTTAAAGCAGAAAAAAGTATATAGAGTTTTTAGAATGGCAACTTAAGCGAAAATAATTTAGTAAAATTTAATAAAATAGTTAGTAAACCAATTTCTAGTAACTTTTCTTTATATCTAATTATTTGCTATATATACTTGTGTTCTGTCGTGACCTCAGGCGCGGTGCTTGTTCATCTGCGAGTTACTTTATACGCGTTGTTTGTGTTTAGTAACTAGAAACTTCTTATATGTTTGTTACGTAATTAGTTTTATTAACTATAACGATTATAACTTCATTGAAAACGTAATTGAAATTTTCGTAAAAATTGCTTTAAAAGATACGTTACGATAAAAACAGATAAACAAAATTAAATTTACATAAAGAATACATACTTTTTAAATAAAAAATAAGAATATACTAATGAAATCTATAATTTATAATAAACTTTTAACATTTTGAAAATTTAATATATATTTAAAACTTTTATTTTTGTAAACAAATAATATATTTATTCTTAAAACAAGTTATGCTAGAAATCTCAAAACGTAACAAATCGTTTCTAAAAACATTTCAACTGATTACTCTTCTTAATTTCGCTAAGTGAGCGTATTTTTTGAACCAATAGAATTAGTTTCTTCATTAATTTAGCAGGTTTTTAGTGCTCGCGAATATTCTTTTTATTCTTTCGCACAAAGATGTTTTGAGAACATTCAAGTTTATTATGTTTCCATGTATGTCCGTAAAACAAAAATTTTTTGTTTCGTACATAAACTTAAATGTTCTCAAAACGACTAAAAAACCTGGTCAGTTTTTCGCAACTAAATATAATTTCCGTGGTCAGTATTCGAGAGCGATCGCTCCCACTTCCCGACCAAGCCTGATATATATATATATATATATATATATATATATATATATATATATATATATATATATATATATATATATATAGTATATAAATAATTCTCAGTTTAATTTAACTACCTCATTTTTTCTTCAGGAAAATAAAAAGAATTAAAAAGAAATTGTTTTTTATGTAACTACGTAACCTAATTTGCCTTCAGTTATTGACTGGACATAACTTTTAAAAAAATGAAAGTTGTTACAAAACTTAATTTTAAAACCACGTTGCAAAATTTTATAACAATGAAATGTATAAAAGATTTGCTTTTTTGAAAGTTAAAGCGCTTTTAAATATCCATTCAGCGTAAGGTTAATTTTTGTTTTTGGCAATTATGAGTTAATTGCTTTTGATAATAAATGAACAAAAGTAAAAAATACCAGTCCTTGTAACTATAGCGCAAGTTTAATTTTTAAATGAATGAACTTTTGATTTTTAGCTTGCTATTTTAGTTTATGTGAGGAAAACAAAAAAAGGAAGTATAAACTTTTTCAGACAGTTATTTTTCCTTTCAATATTCTTTTTAAAATAATAATAAAAAAGGTTTCAATGACTTAATAAAAGTTTTATTTAGATCTGTTTATAACCCATAATAAATGTAATTGTAATATTTATTTAAATGTAACTTTTTAAATTACTCTTAATAATTAAAAAAATGTATTTTTTTAAATATATGTTTTTAAAAATATAATATGGCTTTTATTCAAAATAATAGAATATTTTTAAATTATATTTACTGTAATTATTTTTTAATTACCTTTAATTTAAAAGGCGACTTAAAATCACTTTAAAAATTAAAACCTTTAGTAATCATAGGCGTAGAGTATGAGGTACAACGGGGGCAGACTGCCCCCCTTGAGTTAACCTTTCCTCCCTTGAAAATTCGTTTGCCCACCTTGAAATTTTATCTAATCTTATAATAAATATTAGTTCAATTTTTTATTTTTAAACAGAGGAAGAAATTAGAGAAAAAAATCAATTAAAAAGCGAAAAAAGAAATCATCCTTTGCTATAAACATACCCAAAAAAATTGTTTAATAAACATACCCAAAAAAATTGTTTAAGATAAAAACTTGAAAAAGTAGTTTGATTTTTTCATATAAAAATATGTTTTTTCAATGAAATAAAACTTTAGATTGTCTTTTGATCTCAATTTAAGATTTGTTTCACGCTGTATACTAGTGCTTTAAAGTAACTTTTATGATATAGAAAGTATCATGTCAAAATATCGTTCAAAAGTTCATAGCTTTTACCAGAGGTTCACTAATGAGACTTGCTTGGTTTTCAAGCCTAAAAGACCAAAATGAAAGCGAAAATCAACACCAAATTAAAACATCATTTAAACTTCTTTGACCAACCAGATGGATAATGCGCAAGTTATCTCTAATATCTATTATCAGTAACTGCAGATGTCTTCTTACAGAAGTTTTCTACAGAAAACTTCACGTTTGACTGGAAGACCTTACCACTAACCCTGACTTTACCAAATGCAGAGTGGAAGCAATGACCTTTTTGTCTTCTTCACAGGTTTTTGACAACTTTTTATAAATTGGAATTTATTTGAATCATTTTTACAATCCTAGAAGGTTCAAGCATTCAACTTCAGGGAAGTTAACTTAAATTTAGTAAGGTTGAATCCATCATTTAGACCCTGAAACAAATTTTTGTATACTCATGTTTCAAAACACTTTTTGATGCAGCAACTGAATCTGCTAAAATGATGGGTTTATACCTGCAAGATTTGAAATTGTCTTCAATGATACTTATTATCAGCCAAAGGATCCAAATAAGATCTATAAACAGTTACACTTACCGGTTTATATGCAGTTTCAGTTACCACTAGTTAGAAACCACTCGCTATTTAACAAGGATTGAAGAGTTTGTGATTGGATCAAATAAAACTGAAATTAACTACATAAAAAACTTCTAAAAGAATAATTTTCCTAATTATCAAAGACTACAACTTCATCGAGACCATTTCATTGACAAACCTAACCGAAAAAAAGTTCAATTGGAAGATTTTTAATCAGTTCTAGATTTCATCCATGCTAAAGAACACATTAACACAAATTGCATTAACCCTTATGTGTTATACATTTTTTAATTTTTACAAAACCAGACTCTAGTCTTTAATTAACCAAAAATCTGAAGACAAAAAATGTATTTCAAAAAGACTTTGAAAAGATGGGGGTAATTATTTTTATTGACCAAATATGGTTCAATTTTTATGGAAACAAAATTTAGCATTTATTACCCTCATTAAAATCTAAAAATTGTAAAAATTAAACAACTTATGCACAAAAAATTTTAACACAATTGAAAAAAGACAAAATAGAAATAATAAATATAAAAAAGTAGTTTCTACTTAATTTCCACTTTTTTTTCTTTCCTGAAATATTCGGCAACACTGATATTTCTTTTTTTACCATTTTCTTCAATTGGAAACATTTGTTCAGTAACAGATTTCTCAGTGACTCCATTCACTTTGTACTTTCTTTTTTGTATTCCCATATACGTTATTTCAATTTTTAAACCTAAGGTATATATATATATATATATATATATATATATATATATATATATATATATATATATATATATATATATGCATAGTTTTTAGAATTCATTTTATCATATCATCACTAAATTAATTTGAATACTTAAACATCCAATTCTAATTGGTTGCAGAACTGTTTACTAAAGTTTAATACTTAGCATCTTAATCCTTTCCAACTAAATGCAAACATTTTTTAAATATAAGAACTGTTATAAAACTTGTTTATCAAATTAGCTGAATATAGGTAATTTTAATCTCAGCTAATTTTAAGTTGAGAAATTTACTAAAATTGTTTTAATTACACAAAATAAATAATTAAAAACATTTCAGTTTTAACAATTATTAAATGTTTTTACCCAGCTGTTTATTATTTTAATAAAGATTAATGTTGACTTAATAAGCAGACAAAAAAAGTTTTTAATTGCTATTGCGTTATCATTAGGGATGTAAAGGAATTCCGTTCTGTACAGGAATTTGTGACTTTTAGATCATTCCGGTTTAAGGTGAAATTACAATATTTTGAAATTTTTTTACTTTTTTTTTTTTAGGTCATGTGACACAAACTGTAAATTAAATCAAAAAATCATCAATCCTACAAGGTAATAAAGAACTATAGGTAAACCTAGGTAAAAAATACAAAATTCTTAACAAACACAATGTAATTTTAGGTAAAGCTAAAGTTAAGCAGTCTAAAATAATTTCGCTTGTTGCGCTCTTGTCAGTAGTGGGTTTTTTAACATTAGAAATTTTAAATAAATAATAAACGAAAAACAATTGCTGCCCTATGCCAAATCCTCAGTTGATGTAGAAGCATGACCTTGTAGCAGTAAGATAAAAGATAATGGATGTAGCAGCACTACCTTGTAGTAGCAGGCTATAAAATAGTCGATGTATGTACTAAAGCCAGTAAATATTTTTAACGTTTATATTAAAAAGTCACCACTTTTAGCAAGTCTCCAAAAGAAAACACAACAAAGTGAAAAAATAAAATTATTTTATTTTTTCACTTGTTGTGTTTTCCGCTAACTTTATTTTATTATTTCGCTATTTGTCTTTACCGCTAATTTTATTTGCAATAATAAACTATGTAAGGATTCTTAAAAGTTTAGGAATATTGTGGTGCAAAAAGAGTTGCTATCCAGTTTTGGATAACAAACAAGCTCTTTTTTCATTCAAAATGTTACTTTCCTCTGAGAATAGTCACAATTTTAATGTTTCTTAACTTTTAAATAGTTAAAAAGCATAAGATGCATAATACAGTAAGTATTTTAATTTTAACCTAAATGTAAAAATATAAAACAAAGAAATTATTTTAAACACAAATAATATGCAGGTTAAAACTTTTAATTAATAAAATTATAAGAAACAAATACAAACAACATATTTGATTTAAATGAAATAATAATTAAATTATTGAAATAGGTTGAAATATATATATATATATATATATATATATATATATATATATATATATATATATATAATATATATATATATATATATATATATATATATATATATATATATATATATATATAATATGTATTCAATCTTAAACTGTAAATAATTGCAATCATGGGAAAGCCATGACTTTGAAATGTGTAATTAATTGACAATTGTTGTAGTTGGAAAATGAAGTTGCATTGTGTGTCTATGTAAATTAGGGTGCTCAATGCTCAAAAAAAGTAAAAATACTCCATAATTTAGGCAATGTACATTTTCATATTTAACAAAATAATTTATTGAATAATTTCTTTCTAACTGTTGTCCTTGATGAACAACACACTCCATTTCAAATAAGCCTTGGGTACCACAAGGCTCCATTATTCATGTGTTTTGCATATGTATCACTTGTTCCATCAATCAAAACTCAATTGTGATTAATCAATCAGCTCAGCTGACTCATCATTCAGCTCAATTGCATCTTTTTACTGTAACTTTTCTTTCATGCTCAAAAAAGTTTTATTAATTTTTTCCTGCTAACATCATTTCTTTGGGAATATATCCCATTTTCATGTTTTCCTGACACATAATTTACAGTTTTTTTAAGCTGTCAATCACTTTCTTATTCTTTAGCTCTTTTCTTTTTATTCTGTTAACTTACAACTTAATACCCAACTCTCAAATAGTGGTTGCTTGCAGCACTAATTATGGGAAGGAATTTGTTTAAAAAAATATCAAGCAAGACAAAATGTTTTCAACAAAGTTGTGCATTTTTATGAGTCATTGAAAAATAATTCTAATGAAAAATTAGATAAATAAAGATATGTAATAACAGGCAAAAAGAATCATCATAATTTAGGACCAGTTTTAAATTCAGATAGATAAAGAAATAAAAAGAAAGGTAAACAATCAAGCTGTTAATCCTAAAGGTGAATAAAATAGAGATAAATTCTAAACAAGAAAGACATGCATAAAAATCAAATTTAAATTTCATTCAGATTCAGTTACACAAAATCTAAAACTGGGTAATTCTAAAATGTAATCTCTGTAACGCCAACTTACAACATTTTCAATCACCTTCCAGATAGTGGCAGTAGCAAATTGTGGTAAAATAACAACAAATCAAGCAACTTAACTTTTTTAGAACACAGAGAAACAGGTTAAAAAGAGTAGTTCCAGAGTGTAGGGTGGGTTTGAAGTTTAAACCTCTTAATTGTGAACCAAAAGTTCACAATCAAAAGATTCAAATTATTGTTCTACCAATAGCCTATTATGGCATAAAATGCAGTGAAAGCATTTGACACATATACAACATAGTGCAGTTGTTACAAACACCTCATGTCCTAGAAAAGCAAATCCTTTGTGCCTTGTAGGATTTATCTTTATAGGCAAAAACTATAACAAGTATTTTTAGACAAAAACTAAGAGAACTCTTTGTTTAATAAAGACTATATATAGTCTCAATAAAAATACTTATCTTGGGTAGATAACAACTGCACCTGGCTACTGTCTTGTAGAAGGCCTTCAAGGCAAAAACTTTAAAAAATGTAAACGGAAAACTTCTGTTAACCAGCCTTCTTCATCTAATAGGCTAGCATAGAAATAACCTGTACTACATTTTTCCTCCCTAGGATGATGAAAACTGGATCTTCTTGATTCTACTCATTAGTAGGTTTCTGTGCTTCCTTTGTAGTGGCTATGCAACTATTTTTGTTAATTTCTAATGAGAGTACAGCTCTAAAGCTCAGATTAATGTTTTTGAGGCTGGCTAAAGTTGAGGCTAGTAGTAAAGTTTCATGAACTCTGGCTAGTAGTAAAGTTTCATGAACTCTGTGGTAGTAGTAAAGTTTCATGAACTCTGGCTAGTAGTAAAGTTTCATGAACTCTGTGGTAGCTTTCAGAGAGGATGACTCCAATAACAATTGTAAAATCAGAGTATTGACAATGCCATGTTGCAAACAGAGTGTGTTCCTGTTAGTGCTTTTAGTGTGAATTTTGTTAAAAATTTGTGTCAGTTGGCAAGAAAGGCAACCACAAAATTTATTACTTAGGATGTCATGCATTATTTGTGATTGAAGTTCTCTTACTATTGGAAACATGAATAAAGTACCTAAAAATTCGGAAAAATTATCATTACCAACAAATTCTTTCAATCTATTTTTTGCAAATATTCATGGTCTTCAAAGTAACTTTATATCCATTGAAATTTGCTCTTTGTGAGACTAATTTAAATTTGGTTGTTTCATCTTATATATATATATTATATATGTGTATATATATATATATATATATATATATATATATATATATATATATATATATATATATATATATATATATATATATATATATATATATATATATATATATATATATATATATATATATATATATATATATATATATGTATATATATTAGTAAAAATACTTATCAAATTTTATAGTAGAATGCCCTATGAATAAAAATTATTATTCATAGGCTTATTGGCTGGGATTTGATAGGGACATAAAACATGTTTTATTTGTTTTACAGAACTATCAATTTCCACAAAAAGTTGGTGACGATGAAATTGTATATTAATAATAAAATGAATCCATCTAATTCTACCTTAGTTAAAAACTAAAATATAAAATAGTTCAAGCTTTCATTTATTGAAACTTATTCTAATTATACTAATATGAAAATTAAAAAAACTGGTAACATCAGCATCGCAAATATGTACTCATAAACTTAATATTTACTACTAATAAAATACAAAATAATTTTTGTTTTTAAAGTTTCCAAGCTCCTTAAATCTCATTTTGTTTACAAATTTTCTTGTGCTGGCTGCAATGCCAGTTATATTGGAGAAACATACAAACATTTAACAACTAAAATTAATGAATTATTGAGCTGTAACTTAATTGAATACATCATCAACTAAACATAAATTAAAAGTAAAATAAGCATTCCAATTTAAATGAGAAAATCAATCACATTACAAACTTTTCATTATAACATTAACCTATCTATTTAATTAAAATGACAGTTTATTTTATTTTGATTATATTGATTGGTTATTTACTGATTTTTTGTAATTACATTTTGAAATTATTTTAATGGTCTAGTACGCATATATTTCTCTGTCTTCTGTTAAAGTCTTCTGTTTTTTAATATTTATCCTACAGTTTTTTTTATTGTAAAAATAATTTTTTTAAAAATGTAAAGCAAAATTTTGAAACATGTCAAGATTAAAAAATATTATGTTATTTTTAAATATATTAGTATATTTATTTTATCCTATTATGACATTCAAGGTTTTTTATTTTGTAGTAAATTTTCTTGATCCAAATGGGTAATAATTTTAAATTTTTCTTGCAAATATAGTATACATTTTTTGGAAATCTTAAACTAATACTTTTTCTTTTAGATGACAAATATATTTTGACTGCAACTTTTAGTTGCCAAATATATTTTGACAGTCTCTATTGAGTATTTTTTATGTTTAAAAGATTGTTTGTGGTTGGCATAACATTTTTTCCGTTTGCCCTCGGTTGAGCCGATGAATTGTTTATCAGGCTTATTTTAAGAGGAAACAATGCATTAGTAAATAATATTTTTTCATAGGCATTTTTTATTCATAGGGCATTCTACTATAAAATTTGATAAGTATTTTTACTAATATATATACATATATATATATATATATATATATATATATATATATATATATATATATATATATATATATATATATATATATATATATATATATATATATATATATATATATACACATATATATATATATATATATATATATATATATATATATATATATATATATATATATATATATATATATATATATATATATATATATATATATATATATATATATATATATATATATATATATGTATGTATATACATATATAAATTATAATTTTGTCAAGTAATATATAAATAATAAAAAAAAAAATTTTAAAACACCTTTAATTTCTCTATGAAACTGTCTTCTTTTGTGATCATTAAGAGGTTGCCTTTCAGTATTACAGTTGTAACCAGTTATCTCGTATAAGTATTCAACAACATCCATGGAGCGGTAAAAAGCGGTGGCACAAACATCAATATTCATTAACATTTTCCATTGACTTGGTCGAACACTCATGTGGTAGCCATGCCATACTTCCAATCCACATCCAATCCTTACTGAACCATCAGAAGAAAAAAATTTTGATCCCAGGGGAACATACCTATGTTTGTGAAAAGAACAAAAAAAAATCATAGCAAAATGGCAGCAACTTGTTTAATAATTTGTTTTAATGATGGAATTTAAAAGGCAGTTATGGTCCTTTAAAGCTTATCATTTCTATTATTTTATCAGTTTTACTCCAAAATTTTAAATGGTCAAAACTGCATATTACAGCAACAGATAAATTTTTTTTTTATTTGAATTGCTTTTAAATCCAGTTAAATATGTGTAAGTTTTTTAATTTTAAAAACCCAACATGTTTTCATTATTTTATTTTTTGCATTCATTCTTTGATCTTTTGTTTTAGAGTCCTTATCAAAAGTAAAGTTTGTCACCTCTATGTTTAATTAAGGTATTCTAATAATGCAGTAGTTATTGAGGGTAGGTCTGTTCGACCTTTAAAATCTTTTATGATTTGAGTTCATTACGTCGCAAGACAGGAAGGTTTCTATCTACAATTATAAAATTACTTTAGACTTTAAGTAGGAAAGGAATAAAGTTTCATTTAGTTGATTAAAAAAACTAATAAAACTTTTTTGAAAGAATCTAAAAATTTAAAGTAATTATTTAATAAAGAGGGTTAAGTAGATCAAATAGTCTTCAAAATGAATCCAATACCCTCTGTTTATGAAAAAATTTAATATTTGTAATAAGTTTTTTCATTTGTTTATTATTTAATAATTTTGTTTACAAAGATATTCCAGAAACAAACCAACTCTCCTTTCGAGAAAGTGCTTCATCTTGTAGTAATAATTTAATATTTTTTCATGATGTTACAATGTTTTATATGGTGATTATTCTTGTATTAGTAGGATGATTATTATTTTCTATAATTATTATTAAAAATTATAACAAATTTTTATTAGAAAATTATTTCATTGAAACTGTGTGAACATTAATACCTGCTATTATATTAATTTTTATAGCTATTCCTACTTTATTTTTATTATATTCTATTGATGAAAATGTTGAACCTTCTTTAACTGTAAAAATAGTTAGTCATCAATAATATTGCTCCTATGAATATTCTAATTTTTTACCAAATATAGAACTTGATTCTTATATGATTCCTACTACAGATTTAAATCAAGGTGATTTTAGATTACTTGAAACTGATAATGATCTTGTTTTACCAGTTAATACAAAAATTAAATTAATTGTTTCAAGTGCTGATGTTATTCATTGTTGAACAGTTCCTTCTTTAGGCGTAAAAGTAGATGCAATTCCAGGTCGTTTAAACCAATTAAACTTTATTATTAATAGACCTGGCAAGTTTTTTGGTCAATGTTCAAAATTATGTGGGATTAATCATTCTTTTATGCCAATTTTATCTCAATTTATTCTGTTTCTCAAGAAAAACTTATAAACTGATCCATTAATAATAACTTAAGATGTCTCAATTAGATTTATCTTTACATTTTAATCATGTTTTGTTGTTATTACTTTTTTTATTAATAATCTTAATAAGTTTAAGATTTTATAACTTTTTCTTAATTTTAAATATAAGAAATAATTTTATTTTAAACAATTCAGAATCAAATAATAATAATTTTAAACAATTTTTTATATTACATAATATATTAAAATTATAATGTCTTCTTATTTTGATCATTTTTTAATTACTAAGATTTTTGGATTTTTATTTGACTCTCATTTGATATTAATATTATCTATATTTATAATTTTTGTAGCTTTAAATTTTAGTTTTATAATTCCTTCAAGAATTCAATTGTTTTTTGAGATGATTATTAATCATTTTTTTCAAATTGTAAAATAAAATTATGGAAATAACTCTCAAATATACGTATTATTTTTTTATCTTTTATCAATTAAGTTATTGGGGTTTTTTATTTTTACTTTACTATCTACTACTCATATTTCATTAATTTTTGGGTTATCACTTTTTATATGACTATCAATAATAGTATTTGGATTTTTTAATTTTAAAAGTTCTTATTTACATGCTAACAGAAGCTCCTTTAGGTCTTTCTCCTTTATTAGTATTTATAAAATTAGCCAGTCATATTTCTAGACCTAAAACCTTAGAAATGCGTTTAGCAGCTAATTTAACAGCCGGTCATATTTTATTAGCTATTCTTTCTGATTTTATATTCAAAATGATATGTTTTTCTTTTTCTTTTTTTAATTTATACCCTTTAATGATTATTGTATTTATAATTATAATAGAAATAGGTGTTTTAGTTATTCAAGCTTACGCTTTTACGATTTAAAGTTAGGTTTTATATTATTTATAGCTACAGGATTTCATGGAATTCATGTTATTATTGGTACAATATTTTTTATCAGTATGTTTACTTAAAATTTATTTTTCCCATTTTACTAATTATTGTCATTTTACTTTCAAAGCCGCATTATGATATTGACATTTTGTTGATGTTGTCTGAATATATATATATATATATATATATATATATATATATATATATATATATATATATATATATATATATATTATATATATATATATATATATATATATATATATATATATATATATATATATATTTATGAGGTTCTTAACTGGTTCAGATTAGTATAACTAAAGTTCGATTCTTTAACTGTAATAATTTTCATGATTTTTAATTATAATAATTTATTAATATTTGCATTTATAGTTTTTATTATATTAAATCTATATTTAAATAAATATAGTTTTTTTTTATCTAATTCTGTCAATAATTTTATTTATTATAATCCCACAATTTATTATAACAAATTCTTTTCTATGAACTAGTATAATAATATTTACATTTAAAATTAGAAAATTTAATTTTATATAGTTTTATTTTATTATCAGTAATGATAATACTATTATCTAATAATTTAGTAATATTATATTTATCTGTAGAGATTCAAACTTTTTCATTACTAGTTCTAATTGGTTCTAATAGAAATAATATAAAAAGTTAAGAAGGAAGTTTGAAATATTTCATCTTAAGCAGAATTTCATCTGGATTTTTTCTCTTAGGTCTTGCTTATTTATTTAAAACTTCAATTTTATTAGATTTAAATTTATTTAACTTTATATTTAATAATTCATCTTCTTTTCACTTTTTTAGTAATTTTATATTAATTTTATCTATTTTATTTAAATTGTTAGACAAAAGCTGTTTATTTAATACATTTATGTTTTTATTTGTTATAAGTCTTCTACACAACTTCATAAGCAGAAAAAATGTTAAGAACAGCATATTTTCATATATTTAAACAGTAAAAATACAATTTAGCTTAAGCCTGACTTATTACTCCCTTAACTTATTAAAAATAATAGAAGGGGTGATGAATGATAAATAAGGTTATAGAGCCTTAAAAAACCAATAAGAAAAAAATGTGTAAACTTTTAAATGTAAAAAAATTTAAATTCTATTTAATAAACACAAAAATTTTTTGCAACGCTGAATCTGTTTAGAATGTGTGCCTCTATAATTTAGAACACATGATTTGATGTTTTAATGAAAAGTCAATTTTAGAAAAAAAAAGAAAGTTGGGAAAAACATAACAATTGTTAAAAGTTGTGGTCAGCAAAATGGAGCCCTTCTAAAAAAAGCTTTTATTACATTGCACAGTGGGCGAAAATCATTATTAGCTGGATAAAAGTAACAACTTTTAAAATGTTTATCAGATTTTCCCCATATTTACTAGGTTTAGTGCATTTCATACTACAAATTTAATGGTACCATTAAATTGTTTATTTGATTGCTATGGATACATGTTTCATAGCAAGAGTGCATTTTGCATAGCTACCTAATATAAGAGACTTTCTTAAAACGTCAAAGTTATAAACTAAACTAATATTAATGCTACAATGCTGTTTTATGTATTTGAATGATAACACAAATAAAAATTACTAATTTTGGTGTTGCTATGCATTTCTGGGCTCTTACAAACAAGTTATTTAATTTTTGTGAAAATTTTGCATAAATCAATATTTCTTTAAAAAATAAAATATAAATTTTGAAAACAATCTTAACTCTAAAGGTTTATAGAAACAGTTAATAAAATTTTAATTAAATTTATGTAGGTTAATTGTCCTTTGCAACCAAATAAACATTAGTAACCTTTCATACAATTTGATCTAAAGAATGCTTTATAAAGTATATATAGGAATACAAACATATTTTAGCTACATAATTATTTTATTTTATAAATAATAAACTCAAATAAAATAAACACCGTTTTGAATACCAACTAACATTAAAACTATGTAATTGCAATTTACAATTAGTCAAAAAATGGAACCTCTTTGAGTAGATAGAGAACACCATTTGAAAGAGACTTTTTCTTAAGATGAAAGATTTTCTTAAACAACTTATCAAAGGGTCAAAAGAATATATTATAATTCTAAATCTATAATTATAAATTTTCATTTGTTTAGGAATGCGAACAATTTCTTGAAAATGGTTTACAAAACTTCTTAAAGTTTTTATTTTGAGTTTCTTGTGCCTCTTCATTGAGTATTTAGCAGGTGATGCAGATTCTGTAGCATATGATACCAGGGATATAGGTTTACATACTTCTCAGCTGTTTTGTAACAGCATTCTTTAAATAGTGAAGAGCCAAATAGAAAGCTAGATGACAATATACCCAAAATAACATGCAACATCTTTAAAGAACTTGAGCAGACTTCTCTGCATTCTAAAAAAAATCTTTTAGCAGTGTTTCCACTATATGATGACCCAGAGGCACAAAACATTGGCATATGAATCACCAGTCCAATTTCATCACAAAACCTTATTTGAATTTTCTGTTTTCATGTTTTGAATAATTTTTTTTACAGATAGTGTCCTTGTGGTCTTTTCATCGCCTAATTAGTTTTAAGAAGACATTCCATGCTTTTAATCTAAGCATAGAGAGTTAAAAGGCAAAAGTAGAGACCTATCTCTGTCAATGGCATATATTTAACTCAATAATCATTAATTATTGCTGGATTGCATCCACAAACTGAATGACATTAAAAAGATGTAGCTGCTGTAGCAACTT